TTTCTTAAAACTCTTCCTCTTTCATTTTTTTTGTTTTTCTTAAAACACTTCCCTTTTCTATTAAAAAACCACTTTTACCCCTACTTTTTCATACCCTACCTATCACATCATACTTTTTTCACTAACAACTAAACTATCACATCTTACTTTTACCCATCACATCAAGGGCAAAATTGGAAAGTCAACTACAATTTAACACTTCCTTATTTTCCTCCAAAGTCAAAAGAGGAACTCTTTTGAGAAACGGAGGGAGTACAAAGTAAGAAAAAGATAAACCACATCATAGAATCCTCATAATTGACCTGAATAATAGGGAGTAATTTGGAAGAGAATAAATAAAACCCAAATTTTAGATTTGATCATAGAATATTTGACTAAAAATTAGATCTGTGCAAACAAGGGTTGGCCAATTCGGCCTTCCGAGCCCGCCCTTTAAAAAGGGCAGATATGGACTACCTTTAATACCCAAATGGGCGGGCCGGCCCAAGCCCGAATTGTATATGGGCGGATCTGAAAGTTACTTTTAGTCCATCTGGGCCAATAGGCCCGCCCATATTCATCAAATATAATTACTTTATTATTAATTACCTAGCCAATATAAATTTTAAAATTTTCTATAGTTCATGTATAATAGTTTAATTCACTCACCTCTTTTAAACAAAAATTGATACTCTTTTAATGAATCAGTATGATGAACATATTAATTATGCAACAATATCTTTATTATGCTTTTATATAAATGTGGTGACTGGTTATTTTATTTTAAATATTAAAAAAGAGTTTAATTTTTTTTTAAATTTTTTGTACAAAAAAAATTTCTTGATGTTTTATCCGGGCTGGGCGGCCCAGTGGACAGTCCATCCCGCAAAGATGGGCGGGTATGGGTAAAGAAATTAGCCCATCAAATCCGGGTCGGGTCAGGCCCGCCCATGTAAATGGGCTAATAATTTATATCAAGCCTGACCCAGCCTGGATCCTTATTTGCACAGGTCTACTAAAAATGTACTTAGAGCTGAGTATCCAAAAAATCAGATCATGTAACAAAAATGTATCCAACAGAACAACATAATTTATTATCTTTAAAAAGAGATGGAATGTAGTTTAGATTTTAAGTTAGGATTTATAGAGTCAAAATATTTAGAATTTCTCTAGCTCCATTAAAAAGAGAGTAAATTCTATAATTGGTCCTTTATAACAGGGGATTTCCCTATTTAGTCCTCTATTATCAAATATTACCCAAGTGGTCCTTCTTTTATGGGTACCTTTCCACAAATAGTCCTTTTTTGATCTTCTATCATGTTGGTGTTAATTTAAGGGCTAAAAGTGTAATTTCACATTGATAATATATCTTTTTTGTCATACACAATTCCAAAGGCTGTTCCGTTTGCGTCGTTTGTGAATTACAGTTGCTTTTTATGACAACTATAGTCTACAAATGTGATCTTTCGTCAGAATCCTAGCCCATAATCATAGTCATTATTTTTGTGTTATCCGCTTAACCAATATCAGAACACGTCACTAGACATAATGTTGACGTCAAATTATACTTTTAGCCCTTAAATTAACACCAACACGGCAGGAGATCAAAAAAAGAACCATTTGTGGAAAGGTACCCTTAAAAAAAGAACTACGGGGGTAATATTTGATAATAGAGGACTAAATATGAAAACCCCCTGTTATAAAGGACCAATTATGGAATTTACTCCTAAAAAGATTAGCTTAATGGGTCACAAAAAGACCTTCATGTTCCGAGTTAGGGTAATTGATTTAATTATTTGTATTTTAATTTATTAAAAAATTGATATTTAATTAAAAAAATAAAATTTATATATTTAAAACTAATTGATAGAATTTAGGATGGGGTATGGACAACTGGATTGGGCAATAAGACACTTGGGTTGAACCACATTAAAAGATTGAATCCAATCGATTAGTTAGTTCAACTCAAGAGCTTATATACCGATTATTTTTTCTCACACTTTTCCGATGTGGGATACTCTTAACACTAATCAAGCGTTCTACACGATAAAGGTTTATGTAGTGAAAATAGACAAAAAATGAAATAAAAAATGACTCTATAATTAAGACGGCCTCCCACCCGCGCATGTCCGCCTTTCCTATAGCCAATGTGGCTGCCGGATATAATAGAGTTGGTATTTAATTAAAAATTGGTATATGATTAAAAAATAAAATTTATATATTTTAAAACCTATCAAACATTCTACGCAATAAGAAATGACATAATTATTACGCGGAGTATAATTTTATCTAATTATAGTTAGTAGTGAAAATAGACCACGAATGAAATCAAAATTGATTATAATTAAGAAATGACATAATTATTACGCGGAGTATAATTTTATCTAATTATAGTTAGTAGTGAAAATAGACCACGAATGAAATCAAAATTGACTATAATTAAGACGTCCTCCAATGCATGCACGTCCAATTTACTTTTTGAGTCTAATATTTGACTAATAGTACGTCTTAATAACAAAAAAAAATATTAAAAGTAATAAATTAAAAGAATTTTTCATTCCATTCCGATAATTTGATATAATTTTTATATTTTAGTTTATTGTATATTTTTATATATAGTTAGGTTATTCAAATCAGACAAAAAAAGAATGAAGGGAGTAACTAAAAGAATGTCATTAGTCATTACTACTTAAAAAAAAGAATGTCATTACTCATTTATTAGAGCATTCACAATGACAAGGCAATGTCTTGCTTTGCCATGCCATGTCAGCAACTTCTACTACAATCATGGCATTCCATGACCATTCCACCCCATTTTTCATTTCATGTGCAAGACATGACTCTCTCAGTTTTTATTTTTTTTAATATTTTTAATATTTGTAATTTTTGAAAAAATATTTTTTAAAAGAAGTAAACATATTTTAATAATAAAATAAATTTTAAAAATAATTTTTTATAATTAAAAATCATTAAAAAGTACAAAAATAGACAAAAACAACGACTTGCCACTGTATGTTACGACACTCCACTCATTTGCCACACGGTGACTGGGTTACTTTTTATTAGTTGAAATAATCCATGTCACCGTGTGTCATTTCATTTTTGCCTTGTCATTGTCAATGCTCTTTAAATAGCGGTAATTACTCTGTAGAATTTAAATTTAGCACCCACAGATTGACAAATACAGACGATATGTGTACTTCTTGACTTAAATGCTGGCATACATGTGTACAAATATACAATAAACTTTTTTCATTATTTCATCAAAAAGTAAATTATTTATTCAATTATGTACGCGTGATGTTTAAAGTTAGCTTCTAGGAGTAATTTATTATTGTTAGAATTTTTAGTGCCTAATTAATCTTCTTACTTTTTATTCCAGCGAGTATTTAAAAAGTTGTCTTATTTTTTACTCGTAATAAAGTAAATAATACGTGCTTCATAATTTTTCTCATTCTTACAAACAAAATTGAATCATCCACTTTTTATTTTCCAGTATTTTTTCTAAGTTACGTGAAGTCAAACTGAGACAATAAAAAATCCCATCCCTAGAAGCCTCCTCATACTCGGCCAGACAGTCAATCGGAGGAGATAAATTAGACTTTAATCACAGATTAGTGGCAAAGAATGGAGCCTGCACTTGATACTTGCAGAGGTCATATGCTTAGCATAATTGTCTCCCAGTGCAGTTGCTAGGAATCGAACTCGAATTTTATCCCCTTGGCATTTCTTGTCTTGTCAACTGCACAACGCCCATCAACGTTTAGCTAGAGATGATAAATTTGAAGGAAAGGGATTATTATTTACAAATAAAACAATTCCATGCATCTTTATATTGGATTAGTCTAGAATGAAATGAAAGACAAGGAGACATTGCGAGATGAGCGGGGTTTCGAGGTTGTCGCGTGAGTGTACATTGACGTGAAAATTACACTCCAATATTATTATTATTATTATACTGAGTAATTAGATTCTTCATTATCTCACAAGATCTTTCCACATAATTAACCTTATCCAAATGACTGGTGTAATTAAAGTGCCTATAAATAAACTAAGGCCCCGTTTGGCATCAGCGTTAGCTATTAGTGTTAGCGTTTTGAAAATGCTATCCGACGGTAGCCTTTAGAGTTAGCGTTGTTGGAATTAATCTACACCTTTAAAATTTTATCCAAAACGCTAACGCTAATCGAAAACACTTTTCCCAAACAAAGCCTAAATTATCAGGGAATTAGCTACTAATATCATCAATACTGCTTTGACCTTAACATATACTCCTTTTGTCTGAGTGCCAAATTTTTTTATTGACTTGACACGTTTATTAAGAAGTGGTATAAAAGTGCCAAATTTTCAAAAATGCATATACTATAAATTTTTAAATATTCTTTTCTTATTAAAAAAGCAATAAAAAAGTAGATTGGTGATAAAATAAAAGAATATTATTAGAATTTATCCTTAAAAAATACACTAAATAAGGAAATAAGAAGAATATTTTCGGACAGTCAAAAAAGAAATTATAATTGAATTTGCAGAATCACAAATATTTATGAAGCAATTTCTCTCTAATACTCATATATATATAATAGTAAATTATTATTCTCGTCAAAGATTAGCATGACTATAAACTAATTTCAAAAATCTAAATTGAAATGAACTTCATACATCCAAATTAAAGAATTAATTCCTCCATGGAGCAATCAGCAATCCCTCCACGCTCAAATAATCCTAGTTTTTCAGAGCCAAACTGTCACTTATACGAAGATAATATTGATGCGCGCCAATACTTTCTCTCTAGATTTTCTATTGGTAAAATTGGAAATTTTCTTCAAAACGTCAACTTTCTTCGTGGAGTGCTGGCCCTGGGAAGCTTCTTGCCTTAAACTGTGCTCAGAAAATAAGCAATAGAAGAGAGTTGCGTTTTTGGGGGCCGTAGGCCGCCTTGCTTAAGTTGCTTGGTCCTAGAGAGATCACAAGTTAAAATGTTACTTGTAGTTGCATCTTTTTTTAGTACCCATAAAAATACAATTAAATGACACATTTTAATAACTATAGTAGTGGTGAGCAATGACAATGGATTATGAAGTACATGGCTAGTTGTGGATCAGGGTGGAAGAATAGTAATAATTATCAAGAAGGGGTTTAGACTTTTGACATATACTCAATTAGTCATTTCTCATTTTCGGGTCTGTTTTTTTTGACATTGGCGACCAATGTCATTTCAACAATCCACTTGAAGAGACAATAAAACTTCTCTACAAGAAAAAGAGAGCATTGTATCAAGGCATAAATCACTCATCCCTGTTCTCATTTCTCAAGTCTTCATCACTGAACAAGTCCTCAGGAGGGTCATAAATGATCATGTCTGGGAAAAGCTCAAGGAAGTCATCCTTAACCTTCTCTCTCAAATCCGGATAGGGAAGGAGCCCTTTTAAAATCACACGGTAAGGCAAAGACAACGGGGGCTCAGTAGAGTTTCTCATTTCATCATATACATGCATTGCCTCCTCCGGCAGTCCAGCATCCGAGAATGCCCTCACAAGGTCACCAAATGTGTGCTGGTCAAAAAGGACTCCCTCACTCTTCAAATCTTTCCAAACCTTCCTCCCTTCATCTACTCTTTTGTTCCTTGCAAGCATCAAAAGCATATCCCTATAGAAAAACATATCCGGCCGATACCATATCTCTTTTCGCACCACCTCATATATCTGCACATAGAAAATGCATGATTTTTAGGGGCCCTACAATGCCCCGTTCGTAAAATTGATAGTTTCTATCCCCTATCCCGAACCCGAACCCACCTCCACCCCCCTTCTATTGCACCTCCAAATTTATTTGACATTGGTGTAAAAAATGGGGCCTATGTGATAGGATGACCCGGTGTTCCAATGTCAAGGAAACCCCTTTGTTTTTTCAAAACCTCTACGTTTGCAACTAGACCCATAGTATTGACAGGGTAGAGTTATAAGGGATCATGAAAGACATTTCAATGCTTGATTTAACTTCTATGGGTGGGGCCTATCTATGTGGTACCTATAAAGATTTCAATCAAATCAATGTGGAGGTGGATTCTTTGAGTGCCTACTGCATTTTCCTTAAGCCTCATAGAATTGTTTCTTGGGAGTGTGCTAATGATGCAGACTGTTTGGCATTTGGCAATGCTCAAGGCTTTGATACAGTTCAAACACACTTATCAACCAAACATACCTGGTATAAAGTTGCCAACTTTTTTTTCAATCTTGCTTATATTTGACTTTGGAGTAAAAAATGGGGCCTATGTGATAGGATGACCCGGGATTCCAATGTCAAGGAAACCCCTTTGTTTTTTTAACACCTCTACATTTGCAACTAGACCCATAGAATTGATAGGGTAGAGTTATAAGGGATCATGAAAGAGATTTCAGTGCTTGATTTAGCTACTTCTATGGGTGTGTTTTTATTTGTGCAACAGAACAGAGAACAGTGGCTGGGGGCCTATCTATGTGTACTTACAAAGATTTTGATCAAATTAATGTGGAAATGGATTCTCTGAGTGCCAAATACCTTTGTCTTAAGCCTCATAGAATTGTTTCTTGGGAGTGTGCCAATGATGCAGAGACTGTTTGGCATTTGGCAATGCTCAGGGCTTTGATACAGTTCAAACACACTTATCAACCAAACATACCCAATATAAAGTTGCCAACTTTTTTTCCAATCTTGGATACACATCTAAGAGGGAAGGAACACTATATTGTCGTTTGAACGAATTGGACAAGATTCAAGTAAATATTTCTTCATTTTTCTCATTGAATTGCGGCGGCCTTATAAGGACCTCTTGGTTTTTCACTAATATGGTTTCTCAAATTTGGGTTTCCACACACTATGATCTTCTATTCATATTAAAATCTATCAGGACATTCAATTGTAATAAACGAAACAAATCCATTAAAATCCCAGAAATGTACTCAAAACTTACCCCTACTAGATATAAGACATTCAATTGAAAAACAACTATAGAAGAATAGAATTGCGTAATTGGAAATTCTTTCAATTTGAACTGTGATAAAAAATAGTGAGGGCAAAAATGCCAGAGTAATTGGGAATGGATTGCTGTACTGTTGGTACCTTCATGGAGAGAAACACAAGCTCCTGTCTTTGAAACTCCGCGAGGACGGCGACGAGATCGGATTTGAGCAGACGAGAAACACTAGACTTGATGAACCGTTCGAGACGGATCGGGTCGGACTGCAACCGCTTGAGCTCCTTGGCCGCCATTAAACCTTCTTTCCCCAATTCCTTCTTGCGCCGCCATATCGACGCGCTCGGACTCGACGCCGCCGCATTCGAGCCGACGATGAGGGCTCGGATCGCGCCACCGTTGCGATTCGGCGGGTGAGAAAGTACGGGCCGTCCTGTGGAGGCCCTTCTCAGTAGGTTCCCGCCACAACGCCACATTCCAGATGCATATGTTTAGCTGTTGATGATGGAGTCTGAAAATCTGGCCTTTTTTAAATCCGGTCCGATTTGATGGATAAACCCATTTTGGGATTGAGCCCAAACTAGTCCGACTCGGAGAACCAGGTGACCTGGGTCAATCTGGCCGGTTCACCTTACAGATTTGGGCAAAAACTTAATTTTTATGAAATTTTAATGTTGTAAAATTTAAAATGCCAATGATGTTCAAACCTAACATCATTGTACCTATGTGAACATTGGTAAGCCAGGTGAGCCAAACACTTTTTTTTTACACATGTCGTATACAAAATGAATTAACTACAAAATGTCCCACGTAAGTTTTTTCATTGTGCATCTAACTCACTTTATGAACTTTTAAAATAGTTCCAAAAAATTGAGAATTATTTAAATTTAATTCAAAAATAAATATACTTCATATAATCTATACTTGAATACATTACGCAATTCATATAATCATATACTCTCTCCGTCCACCTAAGATCTTCCCATTACGCGTTACGAGGCTTGACCGACTTTATTTTCAATTCAATTTAATTGTTTATGGGAGTAAAATTTTAAAATAAAATTTATATAGTAATAAACTACATGAAAAATTCTACAAAACTAGAAGTGACAAGACTATTATTTTACGAAACGACTAGTAAAATTGAGCAAACAAAGTGAGTAAAGTTTGACACTGTGAATAGTGTATGGGAAGATCTATGGTGGACAGAGGGAGTACTTCATATGCTACATCTTTTTTTAATCATTTTATTCAAATAAATACATAGTTTAAAATGTCAATTGTATACAAGAATACATTAGTTAGTCTTTACTTTTTAAAAATATGAGTATCCCCTTATTATTTAAGTATTTATTAGACATTCATTATTAGTTTTGAATAATAATAAAAATCATATAATAAAATATAGAAGGTGTGAAATAATATATGCACAATGATATTAAAGACTAGATAGAAAAATAAAAGAAGAAATTAAGTTATTTTTATTGACTAAAAATATCTAATATATAATATAAAATTTTAGTAGTATAAACATCGTCGACAGGGTTGTTGACTCTCGGTTTGACTGGTTCGAGCGATCAACCTTTGACTTAGTACCTCGTCCGGATCAACGTATAGGTAGACACACAGTAGCTACAAAAACAGGCCAACTTATGGCTACAGTAATGGGCCAGTATGAAATACAGCTGCTGGGCAGTAATGGGCCAACATTCATCACAAATAATCAAGAAAGAAACAGTACACTTAGTACAACACATATAATGAAGACATCATATGTAAGAATATGTATATACAATGATCTGTGTATATTGAATAGAAAATTATGAAGAAAAATAGCCAAGAATATTTCAAAGACTAGGAATAATGAATGAAAGTTTAAATATAAGTTTAAAATTAAAATATATCTCCTTTAATATATATATATGGACATGTATTTACTCATAACATCAAATTTTAAACCGTAGCCAATCTAAATAGTTTTTTGAAATATTTACTCTGAAAGCGTGCATATCAATATTGGAGAAATTCATTCATGTCAATATATATGAATCGATCTAAAGATCTACATATAAATTCAGAATATATACCTAGCAAAAATGGATCCGGTGATCTAATATGCCGAATAACAAATCATGAAATAAACCATTAGATCAAGAAAATTGCAAAACAAAAAACCATCTAAAAAAATTAATAGAATAAATAAAGAAATTAAGAGAACATAGAGGGAACGAGAAAGAGAATCAGAGAAGAGTGAAATCAAACTCTGAGCGCCGATATGGTCGAGAAAGAGAGAAGATTACGCTGAGAGCCGCAAAAGAAACGCAAAAGAAATCTGCGAGGAGACGTTAGGTGTAATAAACTAAACGGGCTGGTGGATTCTGTTGGGCCGGACTCTTTAAATACATTGGGCTGGGTTAGAGTTTAAATAAATAAGTAATATGAAGATATTATATTCTTTTTCTAATAAATATGGAGTATCTTCATATACTCCCTCCGGGAAAAAACTTTCTATTTGGACTTTTCTTAATTTTTATGAAGGGTTGACTTTGAGTGTAATTTCCCCAAAATGCCCTCCCTCTCCTTCCTTACCAGCCCTGACCCAGTCCCAATTGTTGCCGCCAGCTCCTCCATGACATAGTCCCAAATGTTGCCGCCAGCCCTTCCATTGCCGCCCGCCACACCACCGCTCATTTCTCCGACCATCTTCCCCAGCCCCCTGCACCGAAGCCACGGCGGTCTCATCATATCCGAGGTATCCTGCTCCTTTCTCCTCACCATTGTCGCCACTCCACTACCGCCGGCAGCCCCACCTATGCCCCCAGCCCGACATACCCCACCACCTGGTGCAGATCTAAAAGACAGGAAGAGAAAGAAAAAAAGAAGGACAAAAAGAAAGAAGGAAGAAGTGTATATCTAGAGACTAGCTCACCGTCTCCATCATCGTCGCGATGTCGTCGCCAACCGCCACCGTCATCACTATCACAATTGCCGCCGCTATCACTGTCACAATTATCTCCATGCCCAGATCTACCAGATGGAAGAAGAATAAGAAGGGAGAGAATAAGAAGATGAAAAATGGAGGGGGAGAAAGAAGAGAGGAGATGGATAGGGGAAGACCGAAAGAGGAAGAGATAGAGAAGAAGAAGAAGAAAAGAAGAAGAAAGGGTGCAGGACGGGAAGGTAGATTTAGAGACGGGTATGGTAGGATAGATCTAGGAAATTTGAGAGTAAATGAAATTTATTGATAAGGGTATTTTTGGAAGAATTGGGGTTAGAATTAGAAATGGGAAGATTAATTCCGGACGAGAAAAAAGGAGAAACGGGAAGATTATTTTCGGACGGAGGGATAATTGTCATCCGTTTTGCTCAACTTATTTTTTCAACTTATTACCTAACTAGTACTTCACCTGTGCGATGCACGGGCAATTACTTTTCAATTAGTTTAAGACTTTGGGTGTAAAGATAAAATATTTGTGTGTGCTTCTTTTATTATTAAGTAATAATAAAAGTTAAATATATTTTTAGTTTCTATAAAACATACGATTTATGTTGGTCTCTGTAAAATGGTTTTTATTAAACTTATTTTTTAAATATTTCTTTTCAAAATAGTGCCTAAACATGATTAACAATTTTACTTAGATGAGATGTCACATGTACTCCTTCCGTCCCAAATTATAATTCTTGTTTTCCTTTTTGTCTGTCCCAAAATGATATGCTTATTTTCTTATTTGGTATGATTGTTTATGTGGACTTTCCAAAATGCCCTCTCATGTAATTACTCATATCCACACTTTCTTACCCCTACCCACCTTAAAAAAATTAAGTGAGAGACAATTTTGGAAGGTCAACCTTAATTTTTTCCTCCCTTAAATATGGCCTAAGATCAAAAAGGCATTATAAAATGGGACGGAGATAGTATTTCATACTTATTCATAGTAAATCTCTAATTCTTAAGTTTTATAAGAATGTCATATAATAAAAATTGGGAATTAGAGATATAATTTGATAAATAATTTAATTTAGAACTTAAGAATTGCGTTTGAAATAATTATAAATGCAAAAATAAACTATTGAGAACATCTTAGGAGGACGGATGGAGTATTTAAATTAAATTAAATAGTAGTGAACAACTGAGGAATTATAGTATGGAAATAAAATACTACCATTTCAATATGAAAGTAAAATTAAAAAACTAAAAATTAATAAAGTATGGGCGGGATTAGAATGATTTATTTCAAAAAAACTACGTACAAATTAATTGCTCCCTCCGTCCAAAATTAATGTTCCCACTTTGACCTGGCACGCAGTTTTAGGTGAAGTAAAATTGTGGTTAACTTTCCCAAAATACCCCTCCTCCTCCTCCGTCACTCAACCAGACTTCTTACCTTAATTCCTCCTCCCAAGTCCAGACCAATCTCGGCAAAAACACCAAATGAACATGAACAGGGCCACGAAGAACAAAATCAAGGAAGCCAAACAAAATCAAGGAAGCAAAAACAGAAACAGGTACTGATGAACAGTGACAAAATCTAAGATTGGCTCAAATCGAAGGAAGCATCAATTGGAATGGAAATCCAGCTTTAGCCCTTGAATGAGCATCCCAAGTCGCCCATAATCCTCCACAAATTTCCTTCGAAACGAGCTTGAACAGAGGTTGATTGAACCAACAATTGTCGCGGATGAACAGTACACCGAGATGGTTGACATGCGATTCTTGTCCAATTTAGCACCGTAATAAGGAAATTAAATTGAGGAAGGGATTCCTTGGTCCAAAACGGTCAAAGAGCTCAAAAGGTCGTATCAATAACACAAGAAAATCAAGAGGAATCGGGGCTATTCAATTGCGATGAATTACAGTGTACGAGACTTATTCAATTGCCGACTTTAGAGAGAAACACATGCGATTCCAGGAAGAAGGAGAAGAAGAATTGAAGAAGGGGAAAAATAATTGAAGGGGAAGAAGAAATGAAGAAAAAGAAGAAGAAGAAGAAGAAGAAGAAGAAGAAGAAAGTAGAGAAGAAAAGCACGGAGGAAGAAAGATAAGGTTGAAGATTGGTGGCTGTAATGAAATAAGAATGAAAAAAAGATAAGGGTATCTTAGTCATTTTACACTTAAAATTTTGCCAAAAAAGGAAATTGGAACTTTATTTGTGGACGGACCAAAAAGGAAAGTAAGAACTTTATTTATGGACGGAGGGAGTATAGAAAAATAGAGAGTAAATTACATAAAAGGTCCTAGTTATAGGTCATTTTACATATTTAGTCCCTACGTATCAAATATTACTAATTTAGTCCCCAATTAGTATACTCATTTCCACGAATGGTCCTTTGTTAACATTTCCGTTAAGAATGTGAATAATATTATAAATTCACACTCTTTTCTCTCATCAATTAAGCTTTCTTCCTCCCCTCGCACTCGTTTCCCAAAACCCGTCGCTGAGTTTGAAGCTTTGAATCCAAAACTGAAATTATCACTCATCTCTCAATTGTTTGTCTAACTGGTGGAAATCAAATTTGAAACTACTAACCTTCATGGAGGAGTTTCAATGTTTATTTCTTTGCAATTTCTTCAGACTGATAAAACTCATTCATAAAACTCACTACAAAAAAAGGAGGCAATACCGACAGGGTCAATATGTCGCTAAAGGTTGAATATCTGTCGCTACTCGCTTTTACCGACAGATAATTGTCTGTCGCTACGCTGTCGCTAAAAACTCCGTCAGTAAAAGTATTACCGACAGATAAAATATTCTGTCACTAAAATAGTTTAATGGCGACAGACCAAAGATGTCGCTAAAATAGAGAGGAGTACCGACAAAATATGTATGTCGCTAAAACATGGATTAGCGACAAAAAATAGTGTGAGTAAATCATTCTTTTCTGTCGGTAATACCTTGTTTTTACCAACTTTAACATTTATTATAACTGTCGCTAAAAGTTGGATTATCCACAAAAAATTATGTGAGTAAAACATTTTTTTGTCGGTAATACTTTATTTTGACCAATATTTACATTTATTATAACTGTTACTACTACCATATTTCACACCAACATGCTCTATTTAAGTGATATCAAAGAATTTTATTGACAAATAAAAAATAATAGTCATACTTGTATTAACAACAATACATAATACAATAACATTTCAAAGAGTTACAACTAACCCATTTACTAGAAAGTAAACCAATATCTCAAAATTAGTTCATCATTTGCGCTAAAGTATAAACAGTCAAAGTGAACTAAATTAAAATACGCATTGATATGGAAAATATAGTCCAAAGCTTTAATGCACTGTCTATATCTTCAAGTTCATCGCTCTCAGCTTTATCATCTTTGTTCCATCGATCCTCATCATGACTTTTCTCAGTGGTTGTATTACTATAAGGCCATCGATTTTAGATTGATTAGCCATTGAACCCTATGCAAAAAAAATTGAGCAATGCTAGGGGTACACCTTTGGTGTACCTCACTTGTCCCCCACCCCTTCACCACCACCCATTTTTATTTAATTTTTATTTATTTAATTTTTTAAAAAGGTTTTGCCCATTTATGTGGTGGAGGAGGGGGTGGGGGACAAATGGGATACACCAAAGGTGTACCCCTAGCATTTTTCAAAAAAATATAAGCACATGATAACGTAATTACAAATTTTGCACCAAATTTACCTTACACTCATGTTAGGTGGCATAACTTTAAACTATATAATGAACTAAACAAAAATCAAATGAAATATGGGTAGTTAACAACGATAAATAGACACTAACCGGAGGGTATTTAAAAGCAATGATACTACATATTCTAAATTTTTGAGTCTCTCTTTTGTTTCTTCATGCTCTTAGTTACACACATCTGAGGCCAAACCTTATCAGACCATTACTACAAATTTGTCAAATTACTACTTTGAACATATTTTACAAGCATAGAAGATAAACACAAAAGAATGCTTGTATAGAGTACCTCACAGAATTACCTCAGTATACAGAGTACACAGAAGAATACTTCGTATTGATTTTACAAATCTATCAAGTCTCCAATAGTCCAACCAAAGATTCAACACAGAAGATAAACAAAGAATATAACTCAAAGAAGAAAAAATCTCATTTCTTCCAATTTTCAAACAAAGAAGATAAAAAACTTAAACATAGAGCAAAGCATAGATGGTAATTTAATCTCTAGTAAAATGCAAAAGGAGACTATAAAGAACTAACCTGATGTAACTTGATGACGGAATTTAAGATGGTTTGGTTACTGAAATAGTGGAAGGATGGACGAAGAGCCAGTATGGAACTCATCACAGCTACCTTCGTTAGTATTCTTCTCATCCATAAGTTTCAAATCTCTTAACCTTCTATTGTGTTTCTAGATGGCTTTCTACAATTGAGCTTCCTGCTCTAACATTCATCTCAGTGTAGCTTTCTTTGACTTATGAAACATTCTTGGTCATATAAAAGAAAATGAGACAAAGAAAATACATAAACACCTTCCACAGGTCTAGAAAGACTTGAAACAAAAGATGAGATCAAATGAACATGCAAAGCTAGCGCACGGTATAATAATTTCATAATCAATTGATTACCTATAGTAGTTAGAAAAACCATCTTCACTAATTGTGCTATCAGTATGAAATGTCAAGTAAATCTGGCAACAGCTCATATTCGAGTGCCCATCAGAACAGAAAGACCAATTCCCATATGTGTCAAACTGCAATTCAGCAAATAAATAAAGGTGACACCAGTTCAGACTTTGTAAAGTTCACTAATTGCAATGAAATGAACCCAAAATATCTCCTTTGGTTCATTTTTGGAATTAAGACAGTAGATTGTTCCTCAATTATCTCTTTTGACCAATTTGCATCAAAGCGGAAGAATTAATTATTTCTAACATAACTATCTATAATTTCATAATTAACACAAATCAGTCTAATATGAAGCCTACTTTGAAACCAATCAACAGAATTGAAATTTCCCAAATTCACAAACAGGTCCACAACACATAAATCCATAAGTATCTATGATATACCTAGTAGACGAGCATTCTCGGAGGGTCGTCAGAGCGCTGATGGCATTCACGAAAATTGTCACTGCTTCCCGGACTCTGTCAGAGTCAATAGAATATGCAGCTACCGCCTAGGACCTGTTTTCCATAGCCCGGACGTAGCTGGAACTCAACAAGGTTGCTGGTGCTCGGGTCATGCCTCGGAATCTATTGTCAAGATCTGTTGTTGCCGCAGCTCACTTCTTCCGTCGGTGCACATGGACGCCGTCGCCGTCTCAAAGGAAAAGAAGGGTCTCCGATGTCGTTGGTCGCGCGATCGTGGCTGGAACCGTCGCTGGTCACATGGATCGAATAAGAAGAGGAATCAGCACCACAAAAAGGGTTTCCGAAGTCGTTGGTCGCGCGATCGTGGCTGGAACCGTCGCTGGTCACATGGATCGAATAAGAAGATTAATCAGCCAGACGCCCAGGGGCCTGATTGGTCAAAGACCATCGGGCCTTCAACCCAAAATCTTGCTTTTTAGATAAGGAGTAGTTAATTTTGTAGTTTTATTTTTTTGGAGTCTTTTTCCTACTTGTTTACAACTTTTTTAGTTGTGAAATTTGTACTAAACAGGACTAAAACCTAATGACTTTCCTAATATAGAACTTAAACTTTTTTATTCCCTAAATAACACTTAATAATGACCTAGTGGGAGGAATAATGTCTATAATGATGGAAATTTACTTGAATAATGACTACTTCATAATGACTAAAGGTCCTATATTGAGAAATAAAAACATATGCTCCTATCTTGGGAAAGTCATTATGTTTTAGTCATATTTAGTTAAATTACTCTTTTTTAGTTATGAATACCCTGTTTTTGAGCATTTTTATGTAGACTTGATATGGTAGTTGCTTCGATTTTTGGTTTCCGATTTCATGCTCAATCCTCTGATTTTTGGTTTATGATTTGCGGTTGACTGACAAATTTTTAACCGCATTGGAAATGGTTAAAAATCTCTACCTTATTATTTTACATCAATAATATGAATAATTATATATATATCTCCACTAGCGTTTTCATCATTCTCGATTTTAATTTGTTGATTTGTTCTTTTATCATATGTCTTGATTTTATTCGGTCAGTTTAGTCCTTTAATTTAACTTATAACTTAAAAATCTAAAATTAAAAATTATAATTTTTAATCTGTAAATATTCAATGTAAAAAAAATAGTTTTAATCTTTAATTTTTAATTTTTTATCTTTTAAATTTATAATTCATTTTCAATATCATATATTTTTTTGCGACCAAATAAAAAAAAATCAAATTGAGGCTTTTCAATCCCAATTTCATGACCTCAATTTCGTGTACTAAATGATGCCTAATTTTAAGATTTTTATAATTAAGATATTTAAATTAAGGGGCTGTTTGGTAACTTCTGAATAGATAAGTGCTGAACCAGTAAGAGGTCTGAACCATTAAGTGCTGAACCAGTAAGAGGTCTGAACCATTAAGAGCTAGTATATTGCTTAAATATTCAGAGGTAAATGTCTGATCAATTCAGATAAGAGGTCTTAACCATTCAGACTCTGTATAATACTTAACCATTCAGAGGCAAATCTCTTAACCATTCAGACATCTGGACCATTAAGAGGCTGAAACAAACAGTCTGAACCATTAAGTGCTGAACCATTCAGACATCTGAACCATTAAGAGGCTGAAACAAACAGCCCCTAAATGTCAATAAAATCAATACCGACAGATAAAACATTGTTGCTAAATCTATAAACAATACCGACAGATAAATGTTCGTTGCTAATACTATAAACAGTATCGACAGATACATTTTTTGTTGCTAATACTATAAAAAATAATGACAGATAAAGTTTTGTCGCTAAAACTATAAGCAATACCGACAGATAAAAGTCTGTTGCTAAAACTACAACCAATAGCGACAGATATTACTCTTTCTGTGGGTCAAATAGTTTTTACCTTCAAATAATTTTATCTGTCGGTAATATTCTCTTTTTAGCGACAAAAAAGGTTTCTGTCCCTAAGGATCTGTCGCTACTGCCCCCTTTTTTTGTAGTGACTTATTGGTTTTGATTTTAGGTTCCACCAGGAAGACTAATAACTGAGAGAGAAATGATTAGTTGAGTTTAGAGTTTAGAGCTTCAAACTCAGCGACGAGTTTGGGAAAGAGTACGAGGGGAGAGAGAAAGCTTAATTGAGGAGAGAGAGAAGTATGGATATACAATTTTATCTATGTTCTTAACAAAAACGTTAACAAAGGACCATTCGTGAAAAATGACATAATAATTGGAGACTAAATTAGTAACATTTGATATGTAGGGACAAAATGTGTAAAACGACTTATAACCAGGGACCTTTTATAAAATTTACTCAAAAATAAAAATAAGTATTAGAATCGTTATATAGAATAAACGATGTTATTGATCACTTGCATCAGTTATTCTAAATAACTAATGCTAATACCCATTTTAATTTTTTATTATTTTTTATCAAATATCAATGGCATCGCTTTTTCAAAATAACCGATGCTTTTGATCATTTGCATCGGTTGTTTTATAAACCGATGCTATATTGAGGCAGTCTATTTACTGATTTTTGTAGTAGTGACAATGGATTGCTAACATTGGAGATGAGATTCTAGGTGATGAAAATGATGGATGCGGAAAAATTATTCTCCTGGATGATATTTTGGTGAAATACTCTGATCATCCCATTGAGGCAATTGTGCAATCGACATACCCCGCTTTAACAACATAGGAAACAATCCCATATACCTGTAGGAGAGAGCCATTCTAGCACGAACATTAGAAGATGTTGATGTAGTTAATGATTATATGACCTTAAAGAATGAGAATGAGGACTTTAAAACTTACTTAAGCTCTGATAGCATTTGTAAGTCAGACTCAAATATGGATTTCTTAGGTGATTTATATTCACCAGAATTTTTGAATGGTATTCGAGCGTCAGGCGTTCCAAACCACATTCTTACGTTGAAGGTTCGTACCCTAGTCATGCTTCTCGGAAATATTGATCATTCTATTGGGTTGTGCAATGGTACCAGATTAACAGTGACAAGAATGGGGAAGCATTTAATTCAAGGAAAAGTGATGGTAGAGAAACATGTTGGTCATGAGAATGTCATCCCTAGACTTTCTTTAATTCCTTTGGATAAAAAGATTCCTTTCAAGTTCCAAAGGAAGAAATTTCCCATCATGACTTCATATGATTAATAAAAGTCAGTGACAATCTTTATCACATGTTGGCTTACTACCTAAAAAACTGGTGTTTAGTCACAGTCAACTTTATGTTGCTCTCTCTATAACGCCCCACAAACTGGCCTAATAGCTAGTCAATATTTTAAATAAATAAATATTATTTATTTATTGAGACTCATTATTTTAAATAATAAATATTGAGATTTTGATCTCTCTAAATGGACTTCCAAAGTTATTGTATTTTAATGACGAGCCTCTCAACATTAATTAATTAGATAAATTAATTAATGACTAGGATGAATCCTGGAGTTTGAAAATAAAGTTTTGAGAAAAAAGATATCATAAAACTAGTTTTGACGGTTTATTCTCGAAAAGGCAAACNGGGGGGGGGGAACGTGTACCGTTCAGATTAGATTTTAATTTCGAAATAACTTTGGAATCATCACCCCTCCCTAATTCTCATGTGCATGGTACACCCTCCCACCTCTCTATATTCATTCACCTTTTAAATTCTCCACCTCACCACCATTACCCCCTATCAATATATACACCCCTCCCCTTCATCCCTTCACTATTTGTAACCCCCCCAACACCATTATCACACAACCATCCAACTCCCTCTCTCTCTCCCTCTTCATTGTGGACTCCGGCCAGGAGAATCCAGGAGACGATGGAGCTCCGACAAAGAGGAAGAAGGAGAAGGACAAGAAGAAGAAGGAGGTGCTGATTTTTAGAAGCAAAATCCCATCAGTCCACTTTGGGTAGTATTTCGACCATCTTCAACTCACTGTTTGGTCGTGGTTTCTTGACCAAAGTTATAGCCCTGCAAGTCAGTGAACAACATCCGCAAACGGTTCGTCAATCGGACAAGTAACGAAAGCGATACTTCCATTCTACCAAAACTGGTCCCGTGGCGATGGAAAACGCAAGGTTTGCAACTTCCGCCCCCATTCTCGTTCCGTCTCATCCAATCCGCTATTCGTTTGACGCGTGCCGGCTCTTCACAATCCCTATAACATATTTGCGAGATAGAATGGAAATCAGGAAGCCGTTTAGAAGTGGGAAGGTCAACGGTTTGACAACCGTTTGTTGACGTTGTTGATTCGTTTGGTCCCTTCTAACATTGTGTCATATTCAAGGTTTGTACACCCTAGATATGATGGAGGAATCTTTAATATATTTATATGCCAATACATTTGTTGTTTATATGGTTATTTGTATATAGATTCATATCATGTTATGTTCTTGATCTATTAAAGTTTCGTAGAGCACAACGAGGATTAGAAACCGTTATGAAATTGAATGATTATGCAAGGCTAAACGGATATTTGACTCAACCGTAAACAATAAAGATTTTGAAATAAAAGTGGTAGAATGGTTAGATGATGAAGAATATGGTTAGACTTGAGGAAATACCATTGAATATCGTAATACCATTGCTTGATACGTATAAGTGTATAAAAGTTGATATATAAATGAAAACGTTGGGAAATACCTAGACTACATTTAGACGATTATATGAACACGTAAATCCATGCCCGAATATATATGTGTTTTTCATATATAAACGAATGTGTATTTGTTGTTTTATATGCTCAACTACTTGGGATAATCTACGTTGAATCTGTATGATCATAGTGTTCTCGATTTAAAGGTATATGCACTACAAGATTTAGTTCAACTTGCGATGGAATATCTACAACGGATTAATTCCGTCTCAAACTACGACAGACTTTGCCACAAAAAAAGGAATTTCAAAATATGACAAAATCTGCGACAGAATTGGAATATCCGTCGCAGATCTGGGACGGCTATGTTGGTGGCTTTGATAAAAAGAATATGATTAAGAGAGTCGGAGATCTTGCCGAACAAATGAAACCCTTTAAACCTACATATCAAGGCAGAAGAAAGAGTACTAGTGATATTTCAGAGATTGAGCGGCTGAGAGCGGAGAATGAGGTCATGAAGGCAATGTTCGATAAGATTGAGTTCACGGTTACTAAGCGTCCCTGACGATGGTATGGGACGCTCACGAACTGGTTGTGTGGCATGAATAAGTTATGACATTTATGTGTTTTATTGAATATTGTGCTGTGATTGAAATTGGATAGGATTGAATTGTGTTTTAATGAATATTTTGTTGTGATTGACAATGAATTGAGAAAAGATTTATGTTTTAATGAATTTGACAAATTATGTGTAATTTCACTGCTGTTGTTTATATGTGGTATTGTTTCATTGTTATTGTGTTGGTCATAAGGAATTGAG